TTTGTAAAACGTATATTTTTTCTCACACGTGCGCCTTTCGGGGTGCCCCCCGCTCCTGGACGGTCCCAGAGCCCCCAAACCCGCTCCCAGACGGCCCAAGACGCCTCCAAGAGGGTTCCCCATATAGCCCTAGAGGGCCCCAAGACGGGCCAACAGACGTCCAAGACGGCCCAAAAGGGCTCCGAAAACGGCCCCGACAGCGCTCCAGGAGCGCCCCGAGTGGCCTCGAAGAGAGCTCCACATGGTCCCCGACGGTCAAAGAGCGATCAACAACACTGACGACGACCTCCAGACGGCTACAGAGGCCCTCAAGACGCCCCAAGAGGCATCCACGATGCGCCACAAGAGGGCCTCTAGACGCACAAAAACGCCCGTTCCCTTCGTAAAACGTATATATTTCTCGCACATGCGCCTTTTGGGGTGTTCCCCGCTCCTGGGCGGCCCCAGAGCCCCCCAAGACCGCACCAAGACGGTCCAAGAAGCCTCCACGAGGGCCCCGCGACAGCCCAAGAGGGCGCCAAGACGGGTCTCAAGAGGGGCAGAGGACGGCCCAAGAGAGCCCCGAAGACAACGCGCGCGACTCGCGGTCAGATTCCTCGCAACTTGCGTCGCTTCCCGCCGTGCTCGTCACTTGCTTCCGCAGGGCGATTCGGCGGGTCTCTGACCATGGCCTGAAACGATCGAAGGTCACCCCACGGCCGCCCCTGACGGTTCCAAAAGACACCGCAAAGCAGTTCTGAGGTCACCAAGGGCATACCACAGTCCTCGGCAACAGATGGCGACGGCCAAGACGGCCGAAAAGAACGCCCAGAGCGCCCCATGACAGCCCAAGAGAGGCCGATGACAGCCCAAGAGAGCCCCAAGACAGCCCAATACTGCCACAGGACGGCCTAAGGGGCCCCAAGACAACCCAAGAATGCCCCAAGAATGGCCCAGGGGCCTCAGACCACCCAAAGAGGCGACCAGACCACTGCGCGATTCTTCATAAGGGGTCGGCGGATGTGGCGTAAGCCTGAAGAATCATTGGTTTCCTTCGGTTGTTGACTGATGTTGGCATGTGCTTCTGTTCAGCCTTCCGACGGCCCGAGACGGCCCAAGAGGCCATCAAGATCTCCCCAAGATCGCCCAAGAGGCCTCCGATATGGCCCCAGAACAGAACACGAAGCCCCCTAGACGTCCCCAAGAGGGCCCCAAGACGGCACAAGTGGCCTCTAAGACGCCCAAGGAAGCCTCCAAGACTGCCCTGGAGCACCCCAAGAGGGCCCCAAGTCGGCCCAGAGAGGCCCCCAAGACGGCTCCCGACGGCGTCAGACTGGCCAGAAGCTCACCAAGACGGCCAAGAGGATCCCGAGAAGCCCCCGAAGGTCCCCAAGAGACCTCCAAGAGGGCTCGAGGAAGGCCCGAAGAGTCCAACATCATTGATTTCCGTAAAGTTCGCTTAATGAATTTACCAGTTGCTGGTTTTCGGCCTTCCGACGGCCCGACACGGCCCAAGGGCCCCCACAGATCGCCCCAAGTTCGCCCAAGAGACCTCCAGGACTCCAGGATGGCCCCAGAAAACCACACGAGGCCCCCTAGACGGCCCCAAGAGGGCCCCAAGACGGCACAAGTGGCCTCGAAGACGCTCAAGGAAGCCTCCAAGACTGCCCTGGAGCACCCCAGGAGGGCCCCAAGTCGGCCAAGAGAGGCCCCCAAGACGGCTCCCGGCGGCGTCAGACGGGCCAGGAGCCCACCAAGACGGCCAAGAGGATCCCGAGAAGCCCCCGAAGGCCCCCAAGAGGCCTCTTAGAGGGCCCCCAAGATGCCCCCAATAAGCTCCCAGGAACCCAAGGGTGTCCCCAGAGGCTCCCGAGATGCTCCCTCCTCCTCCTCCACCTCCACCTCCTCCTCCTCCTCCTCCTCCTGCTTCTCCTCCTGCTTCTCCTCCTGCTTCTCCTCCTCCACCTCCTCCTCCTCCTCCTCCACCACCACCTCCTCCTCCGCCTCCTCCAGATTTTCCCCGTCATCCACCCCCAAGTGTTCCCCGATAATGGTTTCCATAGCGGCTGGGGGAACACATGGTCCGATAGCTTGGCAGAGATCTTGCCACAACGCTCGTCCACATGGGCGATTCTAGAAGGCCGGGGGCGGCGGTGATTCGTCGTAGGCGTCTTCGAGATATACATATACAGATACGTAAATATACACATATATTTATACATGTATACACACGTACTTATATACCTACATACATGCATACTAGAACCATCGCGCGCTCTTCGCGCGCGCTCAAGTTCTAGCGAGCTTCTTGGGGCCTCTTCGGAGCATCCTGGACTGCTTCTTGAAGTCGTCATGGGAACATATTGGCATGTCTTCGGGGGCCTCTTAGAAAGGGTTTTGAAGCCTAGTGGTTGCCGTCTTGGGGCCTCTTGGAGCCTCTTCTGGGCTTCTTGGGGGCCTCTTGGGGCTTCTTAGAGGACTCTTGGGGCCTCTTGGGGGCTTCCTGGGGGCATCTTGGGGCCTCTCGGGGGCATCTTGGGGCGGAGAGCTTGATTTTTCGGTTCGCGTTCCCTCTCTTGGGTCCCTTTTGGGGCCTTCTTGGGGCTCTCTTGGGGGCCTCTTAGGCCGTCTTGGAGCGGTTTTGGGAGCCTCTTGGGCGATACTTTAGCGCCGGAAACACGAAACAGCGAGAGTGCAAACAACATGTTAAAACAACAATCAAAATCAACGATTTTGCCCTCTCGGGGCGCTCTTAGGCCGCATCTGAAAGGCCTCTTGGGGCGTCTAGGGGGCCTCCGGGGCAGTTTAAAACGCATCGTGCGTCGCCAGAGACCCCTGGACGGCGTCTTGGGGTTGTCTCGAGACCGTCTGGGGTCGCAGGGATTGATGTCTGAGGGCTCCGGGCCCGGGCCCAAGGCCCCACATTTGCGGTCGAGGCTCCGGCCCCCGCCCCCTGGACCCTGTCCCCCGTTATATTCATACATACACATACATACATACATACATACATACCTACCTACCTACCTACCTACCTACCTACATACATACATACATACATACATACATACACACATACATAGATACACGCATGCGTGCATACATATATACATACATACATACATGCATGCATGTATACATACACGCATACTGCACACATACATGCATACAAACATACATACACACATACATACATACATACATACATACATCAACCCATCCATCCATCCACATACAGACATACATACATACATTAATACATACAAACATGCATACATTAATACATACAAACATACATACATACACACATACATACATACATACATACATGTATACATACATGCATACATACATATATACATATCTACATATAGACATGCATGCATACATACATGCATGCATGCATGCATGCATGCATACATACATGCACATATACAAACATACATACATACATACATACATACATACATACATACATACATGCATACATGCATGCATGCATGCATGCATGCATGCATACATACATGCATGCATGCATGCATGTTGCATACATACATACACACATATGATTACATATATGCTTACATACATACATACATACATACATACATGCATGCATACATACATTCATACACACACAAACATACATACACACATATATACATACCTGCATACATACATACATACATACATACATACATACATACAAACATACATACATACATACACACATACATACATACATACAGTCATACATACATACATGCATACATGCGTATGTGTACAACCAAGGGTGGTATAGACGATACGTATTTGACAAGTACTTATATAGACGTGTACACATGTGTATATATTTATGGCTAGATATGAGAGGTATGCCTTGTATATGCCTCGGAGCATTGCAAGTGCACAGAAACTAAGTAACTGGATGCAACACTACCGAGCCAGCACTGTACAAGAAAGAGCGTGCGGAAAGCTGCGGCGAAGGGCTCTCCTAACGAGAGCCAACATAAAGGGTCTCGAGGTTTCTGGAGCATGCCTCAGGAACGACGAAACACGGGGACGATACGGCAAACACCTGAGCAAAGCTACCTTGTCACGCTCGGTGCTTTGCGACGCCACTGCTACACACAGAGGCGCGGCATTGCAGCTAGAAGATTCGCAAGGCTCCTGTCGTGACCCATGCTGGCGGCAATGAGCCTCAGCCGAAGCGAATAAAATTGGCGACGACGACAAACGGATTGCGAATTGCAGCATGATGCACCTCAAACCACCGGCGGTTCCAGTAAATCTTGTTCAGCAGCGCAAGAGGGAGAACAAACATACGCAAAACGTCGTGACGCACCTTGGCGCGCGAGCGAGATGAAAGGTAGCCTGGAGCCACAGTCGGCTTTACAAATAAACCTCTCACGAGCCTTTTTGGTCGAAACTATCCTGGAAACACAGCCGGCCACTCAGTTGCTGTCCTTCCGTGGCCTGAGGCACGAGTTGGAGGGTTCCAGGCCCTTCGAACCCTCAGTTCTCAACAATCCGCCGACCACAGCTGGCAGGTGGTGAAAAGGCGTGTGAGATGTTTGGCTGTCCCCCTCCCCCTTCCTTTTCTTGCCTGGCCGGTGACCTTGAGAGGCCGCTTGGGGAACCCAGGAGACAACCGACGCTTTGGGAACCCAGGAGAAACCCAACTCAGATCAGCGCCCCTCTAACGGGGACTCCACTGATGGGTACCTTGGCCAGTGACCCGGCGAACCCAGCCCTCCCCGATGTGGGCAACGCTGCAGTGCAAAAAAGAGGCCCAGAAAGGGCAACTTTCGGCAAATCTCCTGAGCACCCGTTAGTGCGTACCTTGGCGGCGCGCAGAAGGGGGTGGAGGGAGGGGGGAAGGCTTCTTAGAGGGCGGCTGCTTCTTAGAAGGCGGCGGCCTTGCATCTATACATAAGGACCACGCCTTCTAAGAAGCAGGGGTGCTTCTAAGAAGCCTTCCCCCCTCCCCCTACCCCCCTCTGCGCGTGGCCGAGTACCCGTGACGGTGCCGCCGAGCAGACTGTGGGATCCCTCGAGCCCGTGACGCCCACTCGGCCGGAGCACGCGCGCCCCGCCTGGCCCGCCACAACAGGGCCCCGCGAGGTGGATGAGCTGGGAGAGCAACGGCAGTCAGGGGCAGAGGAGGGAACGCTCCTCCTCCTCCTCCTCCTCCTCCTCCTCCTCCTGCTCCTCCAGGGACCAGGACGAACCTGGGACGGGGCAGGGGAGGAAACGACACCTAGGGAACAGGACGAACCTGGGGCCAGAGGAGGGATAAGGCGAAGCAAGGAAGAAGATAACATCGGGCGAGGATGAATCGAGAATCTGTGAGATCCCGCGGCTCCGGAGGACGTCTCGGGCGCCGCGGCCCTCTCAGAGCGTTCGGGGTCACTCTGGAACCGATGCATCCTCGTCCTAGCCCACTCGAAGAGAGCACAGCGAGCGACAGATGACGACCGCAGAGAGGAGGAAGCAGGGAGGGCCAAGCCCGGGCGACAGCTCCCTTGGGGCCTCCAGGGCCTCCGAATCTACACTCCGTGGCCTCCAAGATGCGCAAGATGCCATCTAAGATGGCTCAAGCTGGGCTCCAACACGCTGGGGAGAGCTCCATAACAACCAAGATGGCCTCAACACATCCCATGTGGCCTCGAAGACACCCCAGAAACGCTCCGAGTGGGCCCCAAAGAGGGCCCCAACAGGGCACCAAGAGGCGAACATCGTCTTGCTGGTCTCCACCCCGTCCGACACGCCTCAAGAGGCTCCCTCTCTCCAAGACGCCCCTAGAAGCCCCCAAGACGGCCTGAGAGGAGCCCCCACAAGAGAGGCCAAAGAGGGGCAACTCGAGCCGACACGACGTCTAGCCCTCCGTCGCAAGAGGGCCCCAAGAGCGCCAGCAGGCGCCAAAGAACCCTCCAAGAGGCCCCCGAGAAGCCTAGAAGAGGCGTCCAAACGGCCCACTAGAAGGCACCAAGAAGCCTCACTCGTGGATGTCTTTCCTCCTCCTCCTCCTCCTCCTCCTCCTCCTCCTCCTCCTCCTCCTCCTCCATCTCCTCCTCCTCCCCCTCCTCCCCCTCCTCCTCCTCCTGCTCCTCCTCCTACTCATCCTCCTTCTCCTCCCTTCTGGGCTGGCCGCCAGGAGGCGTCACACGAGAAACCCAAATAAAGCTTACAGGAGAGAGCCTGGGACCGCCAGCAGCCTTCGTTATGACGGAGGGGGACGACGAGGAAAGGAAAGGAGAGGAGACGAGGAAATAGCCATGGTCCTGAATTCGATCGTACTCCCTCTCCTCCTCCTCCTCCACCTCCACCTCCACCTCCTCCTCCTCCTCCTCCTCCTCCTCCTCCTCCTCCTCCTCCTCCTCCTCCTCCTCCCCCTCCTCCTCCCCCCCCTTGTGTTCCTCCTCCTCCTCCTCCTCCTCCTCCCCCTCCTCCTCCTCCTCCTCCTCCTCTCTTCCTCTCTCCTCCTCCTCCTCCTCCTCCTCCTCCTCCTCCTCCTCCACCTCCTCCTCCTCCTCCTCCTCCCCCTCCTCCCCCTCCTCCTCCCCCCCCCTTGTGCTCCTCCTCCTCCTCCTCCTCCTCCTCCTCCTCCTCCTCCTCCTCTCTCCTCCTCCTCCTCCTCCTTCTGCTCCTCCTCCTCCTCCTCCTCCTCCTCCTCCTCCTCCTCTCCCTCCTCCCCCTCCCCCTCCCCCTCCTCCTCCTCCTCCTCCTCCTCCTCCTCCTCCTCCTCCTCCGCCTCCTCCTCCTCCTCCTCCTTCCCCGCCCGACTGCGGAGGGGGGTCCTCCATCGCAGAGCGCGGCGCCTCGCCTGTACAGCTGTTTGAATCGATTCCACTTTCGCTTGGCGGGGATGCAAGCATGCGGGTCGGCGGTGAACAAACCTCCCTTTCGTAAAGCACCATTTAGTGAACACGGCCCAGGGCCGAAACCGACGGACCTGGATCCGCAAAAATGACGGCCGCGACGCCCTCTCGCGAACCAACAAAAGCCAATTCACTAATCGACGTGTCAGGGTAGGAGGCCTATCAACCTCCGAGCGGGATGATTGGCTGTTCCCATCCCAAACAGATGTTAGGCCAACAAGGCTGCAACCCGCGTCGTTCCGTGGGTGCAGCATTGTCGATCACATCTCGTCCTGGCAACCTCCCATGGGCTCCTCGCTCAATCTGGGGCCGGCGGAGTGGCGTAAGCCTCTCGAGTAAATGCTGACAGCCATGACAAGAGGAGGGACAGGAGGGAGATCGGGGAGGATAGGGGAACGAACTACTTAAACATAACAACTCGGAGGTCCGCGCGGATTTCTCGGATCGGCGCTGGACCCCCCTTTCTAGCGCGCGGAGCGCGCCAGGGGCGGCGCCGGAAGCGCCGCCAGGGGGGTCCAGCGCGGATCCGAGAAATCCGCGCGGACCTCCGAGCTTTTATGTTTACGTCATTCGTTGTTCCCCTCGAGGATGACAGGGTGGAGCAGGCGGAGGGCGGCTGCACCGCTCCCAGCTTAAAACGACACGCTCAAGCCGCCTCTGCGGCCGGCTGGGCATGTCTGCACCTGCCGTGCGCTCGTCGGGCTCACGTCAGGCTCACCATCGGAGGCCTCCCAGGTGGGGTCCGAGCAGCTGGGGTCGGAGGATCGCGCCGCATCGCCAGTGCATCGACGTCGGCGTGGATGACGTCGGGCTCCACATCGATGCGGCGCGCTCCTCCGACCCCATCTGCTCGGACCCCCTCTGGGAGGCCTAGAACTCGGCTGCACGTACGAGTGACCCTGGGTAAGAGTGACCTTTGGTGCGCAGCTTTTTCGGGGGCGCGAGGAGGCCAAACACAAGCGCGCAAGACGCTAATATCGCAACGAGCGCGTCGATCGGGGGACCCCAGTGAGCGCGCACCAAAGGTCACTCCGGCGAAAGGTCACTCTTACGTGTAGTCGATGGAACCATGGGGTCTGAAGCTCAGTGTTCCAGATCTTTGGCTGAGGGGGGACGACAGAGGGCGGCCAGCTCAGGCGGGGGGGGGGAGGAAACCTCGAGCTGGGATCCACGATGCATCGCCGACAGATCGGCGAGAGCCCCCGGGTGGCGAAACCCCACGCTCCTGGGCAGGGCAAGCTATCGGGCCCCTCCCGGCCATGCATGGGCGAGTGGTGGTCGATGCATTCCCCCTTCATAACGGGACCAAAAAGTGGCATAAACATAACAACTCGGGGGTCCACGCGGATTTCTCGGATCGGCGCTGGACCCCCCATCCCTGGCGCGCGGAGCGCGCCAGGGGCGGCGCCGGAGGCGCCGCCAGGGGGCCCCAGCGCCGATCGGAGAAATCCGCGCGGACCTCCGAGTTTTTTGTTTATGTCACTTTTTGTTCCCCGACTTCAGCCCAGCCCCCCCCAGTCGTTGCCGCCGCTTGGTGCTGGATGACCGGGCTGTGCTCCAGGGTCGGTCCGGGCCTCCGGGAGCCGGCTCTGGCGCAGCCGAGCAGGAGAAGCGCCCAGGGGCAGGAGCAGCGGGGGCGCGCGCAGAAGCGCGGCCCGAGAAACCCATGGCCCGGGAGAGCCCCGCCAAGAGGGCGACGCAGGCGGGTCTGTGCCGTTCTACACTTGCAGCTCCACAAGGGAAACTCTCCTCCTCCTCCTCCTCCTCCTCCTCCTCCTGCTCCTCCTCCTCGTCCTCCTCCTCCTCCTCCTCCTCCTCCTCCTCCTCCTCGTACTCCTTTCAGCCTCTCAGCCTTTCACCATGATCTCAAGGTGTGGAGCCCGCGGCAGAGAAAGAGCGCGAGCGCGCTCGGCGGGTCGAAAATCAGACAAGCACAGCTCAACGCCTCCTCTTGACCGGAGAGCCGTGGCCGAAATGCTTCTTCGTGCTGGGGCCGATCCCTCTAAACAAAAAGGCTCTAGCATCAAGCGGTGTCCTTGTTTTGGGGGGGCCTTCCAGGCGCACTTCGGACAGTGTCAAGATCTTGTCTCGACCAAATCACCCGCATCGAGTACAATGATATGCCCTCGAATTCTAAATGAGATTCCTCCTCCTTCTCCTACTCCTCCTGCTCCTGCTCCTCCTCCTCCTGCTGCTCCTCCTCGTACTCCTTTCAGCCTCTCAGCCTTTCATCATGATCTCAAGGTGTGGAGCCCGCGGCAGAGAAAGAGCGCGAGCGCGCTCGGCGGGTCGAAAATCGGACAAGCACAGCTCAGTGCCTCCTCTTGACAGGAGAGCCGTGGCCGAAATGCTTCTTCGTGCTGGGGCCGATCCCTCTAAACAAAAAGGCTCTAACATCGAGCGGTGTCCTTGTTTTGGGGGGGCCTTCCAGGCGCACTTCGGACAGTGTCAAGATCTTGTCTCGACCAAACCACCCGCATCGAGCACAATAATATGCCCTCGAATCCTACTCCTCCTTCTCCTACTCCTCCTGCTCCTCCTCCTCCTCCTCCTCCTCCTCCTCCTCCTCACCACCACCACCACCATCCTGCCCCTCACCCTCCTTGCTATCACCGCTGGGAGCAATTGCAGGCACGGGCGACCGAAGTCACGAGTGGTGCCCGTCAAAGGCATCCGAAGTCACGAGTCACGAGTCACGAGCGGCGACCGAAGTCACGAGTCTGCGAGAGGCATCCGCGAAAGGAAACGCCACGCAGCCGCGGGGTCGCGGTCCGGTGGCACTGCCCGCGAGGCCGCGGATACGGCGGTGCGCTTCCGCCCGCGGCGCAAGCCTGCTGCCCCCGCGTGCTGGCGCAGTGACCCTGGAGCCTGGAGGCGGCCAGGGGGGTCCGAACTGGCTGGGGCCCCAGACAATCGGCTCCTGGGCCCCTCTCGGGGTCCATCTGGTGCAGTGTTCACCCCGGATCTGGCTGTCCGTTCACGGCACGGCCCTGGGGCCCGATTTGTTGTCCCCGAAGGCCGAACACAGGGCAAAAACAACCTCCCCGAATCGAGGGCCTCGAACTTGCCCGGCCCTCCTGCTGGCCGGCACAAGCGCTGGGCCATCTCAGACCCCCAGACGACTCCAGCCTGAAGCCGCTCGTGGGTGGTTCGGGGGGGGGGGGGGGGGCGAAAAGGGAGGAGAGCAGAGGGCAGGGTAGAGAATATGCTCACGTGGCTGGCTCTCCACTGGCGCCTCCTGGCGCCCGTGCATCGAGGAATGGGCTCGGCGGCGGGGCGGAAACCAGCTGCGTGCGGCAGACTTCGTAACCCCCCCCTTTCCGTGGGGCGCGACCTGATAGGGGGGAGCAGGCAGTACGTGGGGTGCTGTAGAGGGCTGCAGACGAGGGGCCCTCGAGAGGAGGAGGAGGATGAGGATGAGGAGGAGGAGGAGGAGGAGGAGGAAGAAAAAAGAACGAGGAGGAGGAGGAGGAGGAGGAGGAGGCCAGAAACGGGCACTTCTCTCCCCCCCCCTCATGTGTCGCCCCGCCGTTCACTCGCGCCCCATTCCGTGCCCTGCCCCTCCGCCAGGGCCCGAGTGGTCGACGACGCCCTCGCACAGCGGGCCGCCCAGCCTCCTCGGCCCGAGCGCTTCGCGGCCGCGAGGAGGCGCGGCCGCCGCGCGCGCCGCCCCGCACTCCCTGCAGTCGCTGCTGCAGAGGCCGCAGAGGTTTTTTTTTTTTTTTTTTTGTTTGTTTTTCCTCGCGTCGACCAGAGGCCGCAGAGGTGCTCGGACCACGCGCCCGCGCTGCCAGGCTGCGCCCTCATGGAGCAGGGGCCGAGGAGCCCGGCAGCCCTATAGGCCGACCCACCGGAACGTTCTCGGGGCAGAATGACGAGTTCATGCACGTTCCCCGGCAAGGGAGTCGGTTCACAGAACACGCCAAGCAGCTGGGCTGAGACAAGAACTGCGTCGGCCAGACACGTTCCAGGAGCACGTCGCGCGAAATTCCAAAGAGGCTCTGGGAACATTCTGTGGTGGGCCTATACGCGAGCCAGGACGCTTCTCCACTGCTTGACCTCAGGAGCCGCTCCCTGACGATTTGGACGCCCGACATGGGCACCGAACCAATGGGCACGATGCCCAACAACAAATGTTGTCCCAAACCAACAGCGGCCGCTGTTGGGCAGGCGGCCTCCTGTCTCAAATGCACACAGGCCGCGGCGACACCGACAGCGAGTCCTGTTCAAAAGGAGCAGGAACCGCTGTTGGGCATCGTACCCATTCTTTCCGTACCCACTTCGGGCGTCCAAAGACGAGGGCCCGCCGCTGCGCGACGCGCCCGCGGCGGCCCTGGACCACGCCCGCGGCCGCCTCGGGCGCGACTCGGCCCCGCGCGCTGGAGGCCTCGGCGAGGGGCCCGCAGCACTTCTCGGCCGGGTCGCCGCCCACGGCCTCGGAGAAGTCGGAGAGGGGCAGGCTCCCGCCTGACTACCTACCAGACCACCCCAACCCAACCCGAAGACCCGAATTTCGGGTTGGGGGGGGTACGGGTTCCACATGCGTTTTTTCAATGTTTCCCGCCCCCCCCCCCAACTGGAAATCGAGGGTAAATCTGAGCCTTCGGGTTGGGTTGGGGTGGTTTGGCGGGTGGTGACCGCCGTTGCAGCTGGCCGTGGTAGACCCGCTGCCAAAGCGGTGGGCATCGAGCTGCATCCTGGCCGACCAGGGGCAGCACAGCGAGACCACCGTGTCCACCTCCGAGAACGACGCACTCAGGTCGGCCATCCCCAGGCTGACGAACGAGCAACACACACCCGTACCCATAGGGGGGTCGTTGGGAGGAGGACTGGCTATGGGTATGGGTGCGGGTTGTCGGACCCTGGGGAACGCTCCCGTTCGAGCTGGGACCCCCATCCGACAACACGCACCCGTAGCCCTCTCCGACACCTCTATGGGTGTGGGTGTGTGTTGTTGGTTCGTCACAGGCGCCGTCAGGGTTTGGGCGCGGAGAGCCGAGCAGCACCGACGGTCTAACTAGGAGACCGATTTCTGACCACGCCCACTTCCCGAGGTGCCCTGCGAAGAGCGGTCTCCAGAGGTGGAGGTGGGCAGCTTCCCCGCCCAGGGAGGGAAAAACGACCCACTTCCGCCCCCGAGGGCCTATCATAGAATCGAGGTGGATGTGGTCAGAAATCGGTCTTCGACTAACCTGCGCCGACCTCTGAGAGCTCCGCGGCTGCGGGCAGCACCTCCGGCGGGCCGCTCGTGGGCCCGCCCCCGCCGCGAGGGGGCTCGAGGCGCGCAGGCGGAGGAGGCGCGGGAGGGGCATATGCGCGAACGCCGCCCGAGGAGGCCCCGGCCTCGCCTTTCTGCTGCAAAGTCAGGTGGCCTTTGTCAGTCCCACCTCCTCCTCCTCCTCCTCCTCCCCCTCCTCCTCCTCCTCCCCCTCCCTCCTCCCTCCTCCTCCCCTCCTCCTCCTCCTCCTCCTCCTCCTCATCATCATCATCATCATCATCATCATCATCATCATCATCATCAGCGCAGGTGGAGGAGGCGCGGGAGGGGCATATGCGCGAACGCCGCCCGAGGAGGCCCCGGCCTCGCCTTCGGCTGCAAAACCACCCGCCGTCAACGTCGTCGTCGTCGGCCAAAGACGCTCCCGAGAAAGCCTCACGATTGCCAACAACGGCCCCACCACGACCCCACCCCCACACACGAGACCCAAAGATACCCCCAAGAGGCCCCCCCCGCCACATTAGAGAACGCATGGGACGCCCTCCAGGGTCGGCGGCACCGGCCGTAAGGCCTTCGCAATCAGGTGACCTTTGTCGGTCCCGTCGCGCAGCCGCCGCGTCGAATCCGTGGCGAGGACACGCCGAACCCGCGCCGGATGCCAGAGGAGATCCGCCGCCGTGCCCCCTGGGCACGTTGAGGCGTGGAAGGATGCCAAGGTCTGTCTGCCAGGGTTCTTGAGCTCTGCTCGGCCGCCCCTTCTTCTACCAGCAGACTGCTGTGTGCACCCCCTCTACTCACCGAAGCCACTTCCCTCGTGCCCGGTCGAGGATGGTGCACTTCCAGCCTGGTAGCTAGTGCCGAATGCCTAAGCACCCGTTCCACGCGTGCCCGTTCGAGGATGGTGCATTTCCAGCCTGGCAGCTAATGCCTGAAGCACCATTCCACGCGTGCCCGCTCAAAAATGTTGCACTTCCTTCATGGCAGCTCATGCCTGAACCGCCATTCCACGCGTGTCCGCTCGAGGATGGTGCACTTCTCGCATGGCAGCCAATGCCTGAATCCTCATTACATGCGCGCCCGCCAGAAGTTTGTGCACTCCCCGCACGGCTGTTAACTCCTAGGCCCTTCAAACCATGCGCACCCGCTCGATCCCCGCATTCCCAGGCGCTGCTCCCAAGCGACGACCCCCCCTTGAAAACAATGGATATGCGTCCTGAGCTTCCAAAGCGGCCCGTGCAGGCGACCAAGGACACCAAGATGGCCCAACTTGTCTCGACGACGGGCCCCCAGGCGGCCGAACACTGATACAAGACGGCCCAAGGTGCCACCAAGAGGGCCCAACATGGCCTCAAGAGGACCTCCAACAGGGTCCGAAGCCTTAGGTCTTTGGATGATTTTCGCATTACAGTCGGGGCGTTGACCGAAGGAACCCTGAATAAGGAACGAGGCCCCTGTGTTCCATAAGTAATACTTCGATTTCGAATAAGGAAAACCTGAGGCAAGCTGTGAAACACTTAAGGAACACGGAGCCCCTTCCCAACGAAAAGGGTTCCTTCTTCAGGGCCTCGACTGTATCGCATGTTCTGGCTACCATCAGCTCAAGACGGCCCAAGAGAACTCCACGATGGCCCACGAGGCATCCAAGACGGCCTCGAGACGGCCCAAAGGGACCTCCCGTGGAACCCTGTAGGCGGCCTTGGAAGGCACGTCGACGGAGCAAGAGGGCGCCGAGACGGCCACACGACAGCCCTCAGACAGCCACATACGCCCAGGGGGCCACGAGACTGCCCAAGAGAGCCCCAAGGCAGCGTAAGAGGGCCCAACCGACGTCCAACAAGGGGCCCAACCAACCGGGCTGTCTGGGCCCCAGCACCAAAACGGCCCAAACGAGTTTCATCACCATCACAACCACCATCAAAATCACCACCACCATCATCATAAGAGCACGAAGTATAGTAGTAAGAGTACGAACTATACAATGGTATTCTGTGGTACGCATAAGAAGAATGATCCTACCGAATGATTAAGCAACATAAAACATACTAGGGATGTGAAGAAACATAAGACTTATATTGAATGCTAATAGTAAGGATGGGGACTATAAAGGTAATAACAATATTAATCAACACAATCGAAGAACAACTCTTAATAAGAAATATAATAAGCATCATCATCATCATCACCACCACCACCATCATCATCACCATCACCATCACCATCACCACCACCACCACCACCATCATCATCATCATCATCATCATCATCAGTACGGTCATCATCATTACCACCAGCATCGTCATCATCAGCATATTTCCCAGCATCGTCGTAATCATCATCAGCATCAGCATCAGTAGCATCATTGTCATTAGCATCGTCATCATCATCCTCAGCAGTATCATCATCATCACCACCACCAGCATCATCACCACCAGCACCATAGCCATCATTAACATCATCATCATCAGCATCATCATTATCGTCATCATCACCGTCCTCGTCACAATCATCGTCAACTGCATCACCATCATTATCAGCATCATCAGCATCAGTATCGACGTTGTCAATGTCAGCATCATCACAATCGTTACCAGCACCATCATTATCACCCTCACCCTCATTGTCGTCATCGTCATAATCATCAGCATTGTCTCGATCCTCCTCATCATCATCATTCTCATCATCACCATCACCATCAGCATCATCGACATTACCAACAACGGCATCATCATCGTCATCGCCGTCGGCATCATCATAACCATCAACATCATCGGCATCAACACCATTGTAATCGTCCGCATGGTCGCCATCATCATTGTCATCGTCATCAGCATCGTCATCATCACCACCATCACCAACACCATCACCATCACCATCATAGTCATGGACAGTATCGACACCGTCATCGACATCGTCGCCGTCGTCATTATCATCATCATCAGCAACATCATCGTCGTCATCCCCACCATCATTATCATAACCTTCATCACGGCTCCCCCAAGCTTGGAGACACGAGGTGTCACACGTGACGGCCTCCTGTCCCCCCTCGAACAGTCGCCACCCAGAAAGCTGGGTGGGCAAGGTGGCGGCACTTGCCGCAGGCAGCTGGATAGCAACTTAAAGATATTACAGACCAGATCCCCCAAAATGCAATGCAACTTGCCTACACGTCGCGCAATCGCTGAACAACGAGCACACGGAAACTTGCAACGGCATTGTCAATTGCGGGAGCGTGCCGTGGGGGGAAGGTTGGACCTCCCCCTTGCGGCATGCCAGATTACGAAGGCCAGCGAGATCGCGCGGACAACATGGCCGCGCGACTGCTGAAACTGGTGCCCGAAAAAGCCTGAGACCCAAGCGCACTAAAACATCACCGCTGGAAGGGCGCTGAGGGTTCGAGGCCAACTCGAGAAGCCGATTCCACTCGATCGGACGTTGGATCCAGCTGATCCAGCTGTGGCGATATTTAATGCAAACTATGAGGACAGCCATTCAAGCAATCTGCATACCATCACAAGCAAACCAAGCTCCACAAAAGGCTTGATGCGCTCCCCACATCACTGAAGACTCCGCAAGCAATGCATGCACGTCATCCGCCAGCCCCCTTGTGGGGCCACCAAGCTGTAGGGCTAAGCTTCGCAGTTTCCTGTGCCAGTTGCAGCTTCCAGTTTCCACTGTTATAGTTGTGCTTCTTGCTGCTTACTGTTCCTTGTTAACTTCTTGCTGCTTACTGTTCCTTATTGATGGACCGCGCGAGGGGGGAGGCACAAAACAGGCATGTTTACCACGGCCAAAACATATGCTCTGAATTGCTGGGGTGGACAAAACATGACACCCCTCACGCAGATCGGCGGGGTCAGGGTCCAAAAACACAAAGGATTTGCTACATTCCTGAAATTCGGTGGCACCCCTCACGCAGATCGGCGGGGTCAGGGTCCAAAAACACATGGGATTCGCCACATTTCTGAAATTCGGTGGCACCCCTCATGCAGATCGGCGGGGTCAGGGTCCAAAAACATACAGGATTCGCCACATTTCTGAAATTCGGTGGTACCCTCACGCAAATCGGCGGGGTCAGGGTTCTAAAACACTCAGGATTTGGCACATTTGATAAATTCGGTGGCACCTTTCAAGCAGATCGGCGGGGTCAGGGTCCAAAAACACAAAGGATTTGCTACATTCCTGAAATTCGGTGGCACCCCTCACGCAGATCGGCGGGGTCAGGGTCCAAAAACATATGGGATTAATCACATGTATAAAATGCGGTGGCACCCCTCACGCAGATCGGCGGGGTCAGGGTCCAAAAACCGACGCTTCTTCACGGTGAAGCCAAAGCCTCATGACTTCGCTCTTCCATGGCCCATTCTCCGAGAGAGGGGGCCGGCTGGCAGGGGGCGAAGCCCTTACGGATTATCATCTCCTCTCTCAACCATTGTCATGCGATTCCAGTCTTCTGGCCTGGTCGGGTCGCTGGCCGCGGCCCCCCGAGGAGGAGGCGTTTCCAAGTGGTTCGCCCAGTCGCCGCCAGTGGCTGCCTGCGGGCGCCTCGTGCGCGGACTCGCCTGCGCCACATGGCTTGCCCCTCCGACAATTTGCACTGCACATCGAGTGCACCACACAGCTTGCACCGCACAACGTGCACCACACAGGTGCACCGGGCAACTTGCCTCACACAGCCTGCACCACATCGACTGCACCGCATCGGCTGCACCGCACAGCTGTCGCAGCATAGCTCGCACCACATATCGTACACCACATGATTCACATATTAACACAGGCTACACCACATGGTGCACCCCAGAGATTGCACCGCACAGTTGCACTTGGTAGCTTGCACCAAAGAGCTTGCAAAACATCTATTGCACAATATATGCAGCTTGCAGCGCATAGCGCTTACATCACGTCGCTTGCACCACGCAGCTTCCGCCCCGTAGCTTGCCCCGCACAGCCTGCACATCGGGGCCCACGCTGGCGCGCATCTACGTTTGCACAACATGACCGATGGTGAAATCGTCGAGGCTCGAGATCAGAGAGAGCTGCAGGAGAGGGGGCCAGAGTAGGGCGAGCGAGTGCAGGAGGGCTTTGAGTGGAGGGGGGAGGAGCGGCAGCAGCAACGGGAGCAAGGGGGGGGGCATGGGGGAGTGGGCGAGGGCAAGT